AAGAGTAGATTCGACCTCAAAAAAGATTCTTCAACTATTCCGAGCCATATTAGATGGTTTTTCGTGTGGACAGAAAAATTTCGTCACAAATTTGAATTTTCCCAATTAGGACTTTGTTGCCCCTTTCGATCTTTAGCATAAATCACACACTTATGTTTCATTTCATAAATAACTGTTTCTAGGAGTCCTGCGGCGCTACGTCCTACCATCTTACAAAGAGTCCCATCACTTCAAGAAAAGTCCTAATCCTGCAATCAAAGGGGTAGGTTTTCTCCGACCATTGCCTGAACCATCCCATTGACAACCACACTGAGTTATTTCACCTGAGTAAACATCGGATTTACGAGCATACGGTTCAGCAGTCACTTGGCCTCCTCCGAAATGTTCCCTCGTCGCGCCCTCCATGACAGTAACGGGCGCGCGCGCCGTCCGCCGTGCAGTTTCTTGCGCTACCGTACTTTTACGATTCCGCTAAAATGGTGACGTTGCTTTTTACGAGCATCGAATGATGCCTTGATTTGCACTATGTATTCGCGTCCAATGGGTCGTAAGTTAGCGGCAGCAAAACGTCGCGGAAATAGCCGGCCACCAGATGGAGACGCAGAGATGACAATGAGGTGGTGCTGAAAGATGGCACACGAGTGGTGTGACCAGCCGATCGTTCACCAACTCGCCAATTCACGACTGGCTACACCCTAATGCACTTCTTTCGCCACCGGATGCCCACTCACGCGGGAATCCCTTGGTCCGTATAAAGCGGAGACGTACCTAGGACTGGCCACTGCGACAACTCCCGCAATACCGCTCGTAAATTTGTCAGGTAATGATGAGGTAATAAAGATGTGGGCATAGGTAGGACGGGGGCGAGAAGGAAGGAGATTCGATAGGCGATAAGCGCCAAGGACACTTGCACCATTTGTCAGAATTCACGCGCTGTATATCGTCGGCCTGGCCGAAGAAGACCCCCCTCGGCGACTGAGAAGGCTGCGACTGGTCGCCCGGCCTGCTTCGCTTCGCGCGCGTTACATATTGCCCTGACAAGGTGTGTACGACTCTAACTGGCCATGAAAAGTGATCGAAAAAAGCTGATGTGATAAGATTTATTAATGGATGGACAAATAGATAGAAACCTGTGATGACGGCGAAAGGCACAACGGCCTACTCAGTGAATACCAGTATATGTGAGAGGCAAGAAGACAAAGAATCGCAATCGAATAAAAATTGCATGAATGGCCAGGCAAGGTGTTGTGCTTGCTCGAAGAGTATCGCGTCAACACAAATAATTAATAATCATTCAATAGAAATCGATCATTTATGAAAACTATATACATACATTTGTTCTCCTATGACAATTCTGCTGATGGAAAAGTCGGAAAGAGCAGTGGAGCAGTGGACATGAAGAGTGGCAACGACGGCGGCATCGGGAACAGCGGTTGCTGAAATGGGCAAGGTGATTCAATGTAGGACCACCGCTGGGTGAGTCATCAATTACCGTAGGTTGCGTCGAAGGAATGATAGCAGGAAAAATGCTCGGATACATGGGAAGGTGCTTTCTGCAGCGAGCTCGGCGATTGGAAAACCACGTCTAAAAGGATGGGAGTAGAAAGTCAAAAAGAGGGGAAATGGAGGAACTCACCATAATCTTTTCCTCGGTCAAGCCAGTCTGCCTCGCGATCTGTTCCCTCTCGACAGCGTCCGGGTAGGTATTCGTCTTGAACGCATTCTCCAACGTCTCCAATTGCTCAGCAGTGAATGAGGTACGATTTCGGCGAGATTCCGATGGTGAGAGGGAATCATCGTCCGATGAGGAGCACTTGCTGTCAGAATCTGTAAAATGGACAGGATTAGCTCGGAGCGGCAACGATGAAAGGGTGCGGATTTACGGGACGATGACTTTCGCTATCAGTTGATGCTGTCCGACGAGCGGCTCTCTCATTACCTAATCACGCCC